TCACTTGGTCTCAGTCTTGTTGCTGTTTTATCATTGAATCACTCTTTTGTTTTTAGGGGTATGTTGTCTTGAATAGACCATGGGCATTCGTGCAGTGGCTTGAAAGAGCTACCATCAAGGAAGAGTAAGTCCTGTATCACTTCTTACCCATAAATGTTTTACTGTTTGCTTTGCTAAATCTCAGACGCATGTTAATGTCGGTGCAGCTATGTGCTGATGGCAGAGCCTGATCATATATTTGTTAATCCCCTTCCCAATTTGGCTGTTGGAGGATATCCAGCCGCTTTTCCGTTTTTCTATATTACTCCTGAAAAGTACGAAAACATAGTCAGAAAGTATTATCCAGCGGACATGGGCCCTGTGACAAATATCGATCCCATTGGCAACTCTCCTGTTATTATAAGCAAGGTGAGATTATCTCTGCTATAATGATTGTATGTGCTTATCCCTGTTTCATATATATATATACGAGTTGAACCCCAAAGATTTCTAAAAGGGGTTTAGCTAGATGTGATGTTGGTTACCAGGAATATGTTGTTTGTTCTGTTATGCATTAAAATTGATGTATTTACTTACTGATGCAGGAATCACTTGAAAAGATTGCTCCTACATGGATGAATGTCTCGCTGACAATGAAAAACGATCCAGATACTGATAAGGCATTTGGATGGGTGCTGGAAATGTTAGCACTGGAAACCAAAATTCTCTATTCGTAAATTAGCTGCTTGCCTTTTGAATCCCATCATTGTTATCTAACAGCTTGGCTCTTCTCTTTTTCTGTTTGATAAGGTACGGTTACGCAATCGCCTCTGCTTTGCATGGGGTGCGGCACATACTACGGAAGGATTTCATGCTTCAGGTGGGAATCTACCATGTGCTGATTACTGTTACTGTTAATTTGTTTTGTCAAAGTTATGAAATTATTTTCTTTGCTCCGTATTCCTAAGTGCTCCCATTGTATCTTTCAGCCTCCATGGGATTTGTCCACCAAGGGGAAGTTTATCATCCATTACACATATGGATGCGACTACAACATGAAGGTGATTCTGTTTGACACGATTGTTTAACTTAAATACGTGGAGATAAGTTAGAGAACAGAATTTACATCCTGAGTCATTAGCTTCAAGTATTCTCTCCATACTTATGCAATTTTGTGGTCATTCTTTTTTGCTTAGTTCTATAAGATTTCTTATTAGACGCTCATGGAACTACTAAGTTTTGTTGCAACCTTATACAACCTTAGTTTTACTTTATCAGTTTCATTATGTATTCTAAAATAAGTACATTGCGACTGTTATATACAGGGGGAGCTGACATATGGTAAAATAGGAGAGTGGCGATTTGATAAGAGATCACATCTGCGAGGTCCTCCTCCGAAGAACATTTCCATGCCTCCTCGCGGTGCTCCGGAAAGTGTGGTACGTTATATACTTAATCTAATCCTATATACAACGAGATACTGCGGTAAGGTCCATCCATAGCTCATAGGGGAAATTACTCACATCATGTCCATTGAAACTAGATAGCAACTTCATACGCAAAAATGGGTATCCTAATTCTGATGTAGTTTGTCAATTTCCCAGACTTATGTGCACAAAGTCTGTTTAAGGTAGTTTGGTCAAACTGTGAGTGACTTACCTAAATACAT